ATTAAGCTTCTTCTTAGCTACCCTTTCTCTAATAAAATCAACATCAAATTCTATATGTTTGGTATTCTGATGCTGAAATGGATTAAAAGAGAGAGCAATAGCAGACAAATTGTCACATAAAAGGCACTAGGGTAAGAAAAACAGGACCCTATAGAAAAACTAGTAATTGCTTAATCCAATCAAGTTCAACATAAGTAGTATAGTAGACATGACTCTATACTCTGCCTCTGTGGATGACCAAGACAAAGTTCGTTGTTTCTTAGAAGACCAGGAAATGAGATTGGAGCCTAATAAAACTACCGAACTAGTTGTTGACCTTCTATCATTAGGGTCTCATGCCCAATCAGCATCACTAAAGGCTTTCAAAGATAAATTCTCTTTTGAATATGTAATGCCAAAGGACAGAGTGCCTTTTTAAGTATCTCATGATCCTTTCTACAAAAGTGAAATGAGAAACCATAAGATTTTGCATAAATTGACAAACTTGATGCACAAAGAAAACAATGTCAGCCTTTATGAAAGTAAGAGACTGCAAAGCTCCCACTATACTTCTATAAGCAGCAGAATTAGTATAGGGAACATCGTCATCTTTGAGAAGTCTATTATGAGGAAGGCATGGACTATCACAAGACCTGGATTTAAGCATTTTAGTTTTCTGTAACATATCTTGTCACAAAAACAAACCATTTGCTATCCTAGAAATCTGAATGCCCAATAAATAATGCAAAGAGCCCAAATTTTTTATATCAAACTCAATAGTAAGAGAGTTAATAACCTGTTGAATGGCTGCCACTACACTAGCAATGATAATTACATCATTAACATACAAAAGCATTACTACAACATCAATCCCAACTTGCTTAATAAAGCCTAGAGAAGGAAGAAAGGTAGTGAATCTGATACCAACCAAGAAGGAGAAAGGATGAACCCAGAAGTAGAAGAGCTTAGCGGTTGAGAGAAAGCAAGGAGAAGATAAATAGTTCTTCTTTATTACTTTTCTTAATGAGAAAGTTATTACAATGTGAGTATTTATACAAGAATCTCAACAGTACAACTTGACTAATAAAATCTTTGGAGAAGTGGCACAATCTAAGCAATACAATATATCTATCACATTTGATTCAACCTTTCTTATGTTTAAATTATTTTATCTTCACTATACTACTAACAATTAGGGTTGTGCAAAAGTGGAGTTGAGGTGGGTTTGAGTAGCTCAACATGTAACGAAGGAATGGGTGTGGTTAGCCCACCAAAATTTTAGTGAAGTTGTATCATGTTGGATGTTGGAACCTAATCATATTAAAGAAACTTTCGTATCAAAGGAAAAAGTATAGTGAAAGCCCAAAGTAGGCCAAAACGCTATAAAAAAAATGGCCATATAAAAGGGTTGAACAAAAAATATCAAAGTTTTTTTGAAGTGCTTTTAAAATTTTTGAAAGTGTTATTGGTGAAATTATTTTTTAGACCAATCTTTACAAAATACAAGTGAATTTTGGAAAAACACTTGAAATCATTTTAAAAGCGTTTTTGGAAGTGCTTTTAAAATAGTTGAAAACGTTATTGGTGAAAATATTTTTGAAACCAATCTTTAGTAAAATGCAAGTGAATTTAAACAAAGCACTTGAAATCATTTTAAAAGTATTTTTTTAGTCTCTTTAAAAATACTTCCAGATGAGCACACGTGTGTGCATAGAAAACACAATCAATTTGTTATCACAAATTTTTTAGTGAAACTGATGAATGCATTAAAAGAAAGAGAAGGAAGTAGTCTTCAACTATATTTAAAAGTTTGTTAAAAAAAATTAGTACCCAGATCCTCGCCGGATCCTCTTTGTGAGGATCCCGAGGATTCGTCAATCATGTTCGTTCATCATACATCGTGCGACTAGAAATTATTTTAAATATTTGTATTTAAATTAAACACAAATTGTACTTGACAAAAAAATGACCGCCTAATGTACGATGAACATACATGATTCACGGATCTTCAAGATTCTCATCAAAAGGATCCGGAGAGGATCCTGTTGGAAAAAATTATATTTAAAAGTTAGCCTTGGCTTTCAAGATGTAATGAACAAAAACAAATATAAAATAAAGTGACTTCATTGCATCATTCATAAGCCAGGAGGATCATCACCTGATCCTCTTTGTGAGGATCCTGGGGATTCTCCAATTATATATGTTCATTGTACATCATGTGGTCAGAAATTATTGTAAATTTTTTTTAATTAAATATAAACAATATCTGATAAAAACTGACCGCACGACGTACGATAAACGGATGTGATTGGAGGATCCCTGTGATCCTCACTCATTCATAAGGAGAGGAAGCTACTTTTGTCACATCCCCACCAGGGCCCCCATCACATTCTGAGCTTGACTTCGCCGTAGCACGATATTGTCCGCTTTGGGCCCTAACCACGCTTTCATGGTTTTTATTTCTGGAAACTCACATGAGCAGAACTTCCTAATGGGTCACCCATCCTGGGAATGCTCTGGCCTATTTCTCGCTTAACTTCAGAGTTCTGATAGAATCCGAAGCCAATAAGGTCCCAAAAGGCCTCGTGCTAGGTAGAAATAAGAATATATATATATATATATATATATAGGAATTGCTTAAGGGGAGGGATCCCCATTTTTTCAAAAAAATGGGGACACGCTCCCCACCGTTGGATTTGAATTAAATGAAATCCTGTGGTTGAGATTCGATGGCCTGTGTTTTAATCTCAACCACACAATTTCATTAAAGTCAATCTAACGGTGGGGAGCGTGTCCCCATTTTTTTAAAAAAAATGGGGATCCCTCCCCTTAAGCTCCCTGTATATATATATATATATATATATATATATATATATATATAACTTACAGAATCCACTCCCCTGGACGATGTGGGATGTTACAACTTATATAAACTTATACATATAATAACTTTTTTTTTATTAACATAAAAAAGTATTTGATGTGACAGACCCAAATTAATATTATTGTGACAGTAACATTTTCAAATACATATGTTTTTCTTTATCTATCTATCTATCTTATATATAAAGAGAATGGAAAATGTGAATAGTGATTTGGTGTCACCTTACTTCAACAAAATATTTGGAAAAAAAATACCCTCAAAACAAAAAACTTCAAAGGCATTCCAAAATAATACATCAAATAAGGTAGCGGCATTTTCGTCATTTTAATAGTATTTTTTTAATAATTAATTATTTTGTTGTTTTTTTTTAATTGGTACCTCACAATAGGCTAGTAATAATGTAATTCAATTTATCTACTTTTAAACACGTTCAAAACATCTTAAGAGACATGTAATGCCAGTTATAAAAAAAATCATTCGCAAGTGGATAATAATGTGATTAAATTAGTCATCAAATGATTATTTTTTTTTTGTAACAAATGAAAGTATCTATACTAAGGGGGGAGATGGGCTTAACCTCACAATGGGTTAGCAACAATGTGATTCAATCAGTTGTTTATTAAATATTATTTTCTATATTTTAAACACATTCAAAACATTTTAAAAGCCATATAATGCAGATTATAAAAAAAAAAAATTTTGCACGCAAATAATAATGTGATTAAATTAGTTGTCAAATAATTTTTTTTTTAACAAACTATATTATCTACACTAAGGGGAGGGGATGGACTTAGCCTCACAATGAGTTAGCAATAATATGATTCAATCAATTATTTATTAAATATTATTTTCTCTATTCTTAATGTAAATTCTATAGAGACCGATTTTATTATGTGAATTCAGTTGCTTTAATTAGTTTATGAGGGATTTCTTCTAACATGATCTAAGATTATTTATTTACTTAATTCAAATATTTGACTTTCCTTTTATCAATTTACGCATATATATATATATATATACACACATTTAAAACGTGTAAGTCGCGCGTAGCACGTCGTGATTTAAAAAATGCATTTTGCACGCGAGTGAGCGCGTGCATGAAGTCTAGTAATAATAGTGGCCAATCACTATGATCAGAAATTATAATAAAGGCAAGCTTGATGTTGCAAGTCCAATACACACCATTTTAGCCAATACAAACTACCCTTCACGATCTACTATTTCCTTTCCTCTACTTGCCGTTGATTCCACCAGTTTGAGTCCCTTTCCTCAATCCATTGTTTTCTCCCTCCTACTCCTTCCCTCATCTACCTCTATTTCGATCCCTTCTTCTAGATCCATCGTCTGTTTCTTGCATCCCCTATTTCCCTTTTCCCTTTCCTCCTCTTCCTAATTTTGGTCCATCATCTTTCTGCCGCTTATGTTTACCGCGTTTTCTTGCAGATTTATGGGAGGGTGTGTAGATCTTTGGCTAGGGTGTTCTCACCCCCACCTTTTTTGATCCTTGTTGGTCTTTCCCATTTGTGTTCGCCCTCGTTGGCGATGTTGCTCATGGGATCTCACTTCCTGCGTACATCCTTGGTTTCGTGGTGGCAGTTGTTTTGCTGGTCATGGGAAGATGATTTGGTTTGATTCTTCCTTATTTCTGGGGTTCTTGCTGGTGTGATCTCCGGTACTCGTGGAACACGCCAGTTCGTATTGATCCATAAGTGGTTTTCTGATGATGGTGGCTACGGTTTCGAACGGTTTGGTTTAGGTTTTTCTGTTGTGTGGCTTTGTCTTTGTTGTTATTTGTGGGCTTTGTTTTATGTTTGTTTGCAGCCCTCCTTTTCTCTTGTATTTAACTTCTTGTTGGGCTTGTGTTGTACTTACTTTTGTTGGTAATAAATTTACCCTCTGTACCGAAAAAATAAAAAAAACTACAAAAAGCCTAATGCAAGCTTACACATAATTTCAATTACTAACACATCAACTCATATTATAAAATTGCCACTACAAACTGTCGATCGAATCACAAACATTTTATTTTAAAATTCAAAATAATAATAATAAGCGATATTACTACATTAAAGACGGAAAACTCGAAACTCAATAAATTAGAAAAAAAAAAAAGAAAAAAAAGAAAAAAAAACGGCTCTAATAGTAGAACAACGAAATCCAGCACTTGGATCATTTTTTTATTTTTTGCTTAAAAGAACTATTATTTATTGGTACATTGCATAGATGCACTTTGGATTTGGGAATATATACGTAAGGATATGCTCATATGCACAACCATACTGATACATAATTGACATATTATGCACATTTTGAGACATAATTGAGATAAATATGCACAAAAGCCTATCCCAAGCATAACAGGCTAACACAAATCCAACCAAAGCCAGCAGCAAAAACATCTGGAAAGGTGGATGAGGGAGCCAACTCCGTCAAGCTCCGACAGTGGCGGTGAGGACGGAATCGCGATCGATTTCGCTCCTGGTGCGGCTGATCCGTTGGTTACTACCATCCTTTCCGCCACCTCCTCCTACCCATACTTCCGTTATTACTTGTGCCATGTTGTTCATGTTCTCTAATAAGTAATCTGCTTCCTTGCTTTTCACGGTCATTCCAACCTAAATTCACAAGACAAGATACAATTAGTACCTAATTAATTGACCATTATAAGAAAACTTTACAATATTCTAAGAAGATACAATTTGACCAAACACAACAAGATATAAATTAGTACCAAATTGACCATTTTAAGAAAATTTTACAGTACACCAGTTTAGGAGGATTTTTCTTGCCAGACAATTTACACATGTTATTTTATCAAATACAACGTTCTTAGCCAAGACGATGGCTTGACAAGGGCATTGACTTTATGAGTAATGTTCTGAAGACCGCGAGCTGCCGTGTCCTGAATCACAGTTTAATTAAACTTGTGATATGTTTCAACTTTAAAAAGGTACTGTTCATTGCCACAATAGTAGGAATAGTACAGTTTATTAAAATAAGTCCAATTTGTTATATTTAATTATTTAATTATTAATAGTTATCTGTTGTGATATGTTTTAGGTCAAGCATCATTTCATATCATTTTCTAAAGCAAACAAAAATTGGAATTTTAATCTTTGTATTCGTTTTTGCTTTCTCATCCACATTTTTGGTAATTACCCTGGACCATATTGCGATTGTCCCATGTTACTAAGTGGTTTTTTGGGAGAATGTTTGCTAAAATGATCGAAAGCAAACTGTTCATAATATTTTTGAACAAAGTGATTAACTATGAAGGTTATCAATTTAATATCAATCAAATATTGAAAACTTACCATTTCGGCAATTAGGATTAAAAGATTAATCATTTCAGTAATTAAAACTTAAAGATAGTTATTTCGAGTAATTTTTGAAGAGTCGTGCTCTCATAGAGTAAACTGTCGATTTGCCCCCTAAACTTTCACCGAACTTTCGATTTCCCCCCTGAACTTTTCGATTGGAAAATTTCCCCCCTGAACTAATTTTTTTAGCCAATTTTCCCCCTACCGTTAGTTTTTCAAACATTCCATCCAAATTTCTGTTAAGTGAGACCATGTGCATAACATATGAGGGTAGTTAAGTCATTTCACTTTTAAAAATGATTAAAAAACTGAAAATAAATTTTAAAAAAAAAATTCCCTCTATTTTTTACCTCTACCGCCGATCTCCTTGTACCCACCATTACCACCTCCTCCCACCCCTGAGACCCATCAACCACCATATCCGGTCCTCCCCCTTCCCACACACAGAGACTCCTCCTTCCCCTCTCTATTTGTTATTCTACGAACAATGCAAGGAACAAAGAAAGTGGGAAGAGAGAGAGAGAGAGAGAGAGAGAGATTTGTGATGCAGGAAGAGGGTTGGGTCATTGGGGTAGCAGAGGGTGGGGCCAAATCAGGGAGTGGGGTTACGGTTGAGGGAGATGAGGGTAGGGGGAGGATGTCGTAGGGGTGGGTGATGGGGGTGTGGAAAGGAAGTGGTGGTGGCTGGGGTTTTTGTATTTTTTTTTTCTTTTCTTCGATCTGTTTTTGTTTAATCATTTTTTTAATAATGTAAAATTACTAGAATGTTCATGCCATGAAGACAATAACACCGTATGTCATTTTTTATACATAGGAATGAGTGAAAAATAAAATTGAGGATATGAATTAGAGGGAAATTTTCAGTTTTTTAATCATTTTTAAGAGTGAAATGACTTAACTACCCTCATATGTTGTGCACATGGTCTCACTTAACAGAAATTTGGATGGAATGTTTGAAAAACTAACGGTAGGGGGCAAATTGGCTAAAAAAATTAGTTCAGGGGAGAAATTTTCCAATCGAAAAGTTCAGGGGGGAAATCGAAAGTTCGGTGAAAGTTTAAGGGGCAAATCGACAGTTTACTCGCTCTCATATGTAGAAGAAAATTCTAATCGTAAAAAATCAAAATGATGAGTGGGGATCAAAACCCAAATATTATAACAATATTTACACAACTAACAAAAATAATGAATTATAGAAACAGAGAATTTAAATATTAGTTAATTACCAAAACGGTGCGAAAACCAACAGCCTTTCCCGCAGCGACGTTACGCACGTTGTCATCGAGAAACAGCTGCAAGAAAGCAAAACCGCGTTGTCAAAATCTCCCAACAACTTCGTAGTGTTCAATATTATCACGCAACAAATCGACCACCCGCGAACGAAGTTATAATGCGCTTTCGCGGCCTTACCGTGCGGCGAGGATCGACATCCGCGGCCCGAAGCGCGATCTCCATGGCCTCTATGGACGGCTTCAGGACCACCGGGAACTCGTCCGGCCTCGTCGAACTCGGCAGGTTCGGGTTCATCGTCTCGAAACATATGATCTGATCGAAGCACTCCACCACTCCCAGACGTTCCAACACCTTCACTGCGTGCTTCCTGTCGGAATTAGTAAATATCTGCAACAACAATTCATTTTCCGTCATTTTATTTTTCATACTTGTGTAAATTTTCGTGATTTTTTTTGAAGCAAAACGATATAATAATTCCACTAAAAATTACGGTTTTGTGGATTTTAAGCTTACAATTTTTCTCTGGGCGATGCTGCGGAGCAGGTTTCGGAGCTGAGGGTCGGGTTTGATCCGATCGTACGGCAGCCTCCCGTGCACGACACCGTGGTAATCGTCGGCGTCGATGTCGTATCCTAACGCCTACAAACAGAAGCAAAACAATATATTTCAGAAATTCATTTTTTAAAATTACGTGCAGATAAATTAAAATTAAAAAATTGAAAAAAAGGAGATTAATGATGAATTACTCGTAAGCCAGCGAGGGAACTGCCGTATTTTTTGAAAAGCTCAACGCGGAGGCTGGAGGCCTTGCTCACCGGGAATCCACATTTTTCAACGAGAAAATCTGCAACCAAAGATAAAAATTAAACTAAATATCAAATCATAAGTTGAATGAAATTTGATTTATTGATTTTGTTATTTCTTTTTCGCACCATCGATGTTCTTCTTGCAAGCTTCACCGAGTCCAAGGTTGGAAGGGTACAGAGTGTCGTCCAAATCTGTGGCGTGGAAATTATACAAATTAAGCGATAGTGATTATGGTCATTAAAGATTGATTAAGAGCTTCAAAAACGAGATGATTATCCATTAATGCGTACCGAAGATGATAGAATCAAGGGGAGAAGAGGAACTGAGGGAATCCATGGGATGCTAAGAGAGACGAGAGCTGAAATCAAATTTGAAAAAAAAACAAGTATCTCAAGTAATAAAAAATCGTAAAAAATGTTTTAAGTCAAGTAATAAAATGAGAAGTAATGAGAGCGCTTTGAAGAAGGGGGAGGGAAAGGGTTTTATAGGAAGCAGAGAGAGAGGGAAAGGTTGGCGGGGACACGTGGGCCGTGCTGATAGGATAATTTTAATTATTTATTTACTTGAAAAAGAAAAAGAATAATAGTATGGATGTGGATAGAATTAGAAAGGATGAGATAGATGAAGACTGCTGCTGACTCGGACCTTCGCGTCTGGTGCCGACACGTCGTGGACACCCAGTAAAGTCGGAGAAACTTTTGTTGACGAAATTACCCTCGCCATTCATCACGCTGTGAACATACTAGTAATTTAGTAAACACTAGCAATAGTGCCCGCACGATGCTGCGGGTTTTAAAACTGTATAAAGTATGCAGAAAGTTCTAAAGACACACGATATGCAATACTATTTACATACATATAGAAACCTGATATGGACTGGCAGTTCTATTGCCATTGTTCTAATATTCACATCTTTTACAAATTGAACTCCTAACTGTCCTTAATCGTAGAAAATTTTTTGTATATAGTATTATTTACATACAAAAGATAATATTTGATGTGTATTTACATACTATTTACACACAAAGGATTGGGTAGACGGTCCCTACTGATATCCTCATGAAATATACAGATAATCAGCTTATTTTACCCAATCATAACCAAACTGTGTGGTTGCAACTGACTTTAAGTTGTTAATGGAACAAAGTACCTGAAGTCGAAGATAAACCTGGGGAATGTAGAAATCTTCAAGCCTTAAACAAATTGGCCTTGCTTTTTGTAACAAAACAATCCTTATATTACAGAAAATTACAGGAAAAACTTTTAAAAGTGGAAATAAAATTATGTCAAATGATTAGGGAACCAGAAGTTTAGTGGACCATACATAGAAATAAAATTTAAAAAAAAAAAAAGCAATCTCAAATACACAGAGCATGGCACGACAGATAATCTTATTTAATCACACCATTTTAATTTATCAAACTGATTATATAATACTGTCATGCATGACAATATTTTACCATAATGAACTCTGACAATACCCTCTCATCCCAGTCGCATTTTTTGTTAAAATTTTGACCATAAGTTTAATATCTTTTCACTGTTTTTCAAATCTTGACGAAACTCTGAAGACAAAAACAACAGCACTCAACTCCTTTTTCCTATATTGTTCCCCTTTCTCTAACCAAATAAAAATTTCCAAAACTATATACGAATTTTTTTATAAAAAATGATACATAATTAAAGAAAACAAAGAAAAAAAAATGAAAACTGTTTTGTGAGATTGTATTACTTTGTTAGCAACCAGCAGCAAAATGTTTCATCTTCTCACCAATTAATAAGCCAGTAAACAAATGACTAAACTTTCTTAATCACAAAAGGCTAAAAGCAAAAAACAAAAATCACTCACCTTAATGATAAAGCACTTTGAACAGTTGCATCATCTCATTGTTTAGAAACTTTTGTGATTACAAATCTGGAAAACAAACACTTCCAAAATTTCAAACAAAAACATAAATGCTTTAATCACACATGCACACTCACACACACACACGCCTATTCTGAATTCATAAAAGAGAACAAAAATGATAGGATTGATGCCAATATAGGGATCTGCTGCATATCATGCTTCAGGATAGCCATAATTTGCATTATAACCTACAACTTTAGAGGAAATTAAAAGGCAAAATCAAGCCAAACCAACAATTCCCTCATTAACTCGAAGAATGATTATCCATTTTTAAATAAGTGTGCAATCCAATCAAACCCAACAACCATCCAAAGCAAATTACACAATTAACAGATGCCCAAGCATTGAAAGAATCACCACAAAGACATGCACTTTGAAAAAGAACAAAACTTACAGGGCCTTTATGTCTTGTGAGATGTCCAACAGAAGCACTTAATAGTAAAATATTAGTATCACCATTGATAACTCTCTTCTATTATATGTTCTAGCTTTCCATTTATTACCCATTTCTTGGGTAAATTTACCCAATTATATTCGAAATCATGAGACATAATAGTAAAACACAAAAACAAAATTAGAAGAAATCAGAAGATGCAGAACTATTAAAAATTCCAACATTTATTAACAACTATTTAGTAAGGATAAAAAAAGCATGCCATCAAATAAATTTGAAAAAAACAAAACAAAACAAAATTTAAGTTGAATAGAGAAGTGATTTTAGAAGTCGCACTTGGTGCGATGGCAAGTGTCTTCGCCCATGAGCGGTAGGTCTCGGGTTCGAGACTTGGGAGCAGCCTCTCCATAAATGGGGGTAAGGCTAGCCGACATTCACCTCTCCCAGACCCTGCGTAAAGCGGGAGCCTTGTGCACTGGGTACGACCTTTTTAGAGAAGTGATACTTGCTTACCCAGAAATCCAAACCAAATCCCCAAAAATTTAAGTTGAATAGATGATAGCAACGAACTCCGATCTCCATCTTCTTCCAAATCCAAAAGAACCAAAACCCATACAGAAAATCTCAAGGATGGGCAAGAATTCCGGAGAAAAAATAAAAAAATTTGGACATAGATGGTGCTTTTTGCTGAAAAATTAAAAAAAAGACAAAAAAGAGGAAAATAATCAATCTTTTGAAATAGAATCGGAGTTAAGTTTTTGTACCGATATGAACGTTTTCAGGAATCATGGAAAGAAAGTTGAGGTATGGATGAATTGGTGGTTGTTCTTCCTCCCCAACTCCTCCATAACTCCCAGAAGAGAAATTTTCATACAACCTCTTCCCAGCAGCTGCAAAAAAATATTTAAAATTTAAAAACAAAATCCAAAAACAGAGCAAACAGGTCAGGTCACTCTCGAGTTTGGGTGCGAGCTTATCCCTAACCTTCTCACCAGAAAAAAAGAATATGCAAAAACTAATTAGAGATTTCAGAAAATACACTACCTGATTACCTGCTATTGGAAACAAATAATAAATATACAGGGAATTTTAAAATAATTCAACTGCAGGCAATTTAATTGAAATTTTTAAAGAAAAAAAAAAGAACTCAAAATCTTAGTAAAATTAAGAGCAAAAATTATTAACCACACAATGAAATTTAATAAAAATAAATTACTTAAATTAAAACCCAAATTCCAGAAATGAAGAAAAATGGAAACTTAATATGGACACTAAAGCTTTACCTACAGATCGACAACAGCGGCAGGTACCTCAATAATGAAAGAGACAGAGCTGGAGATGCATGAGAGAAGAGGGGAGGAGTGTCTGGTGATCCATAACTTTGTGTAAACCTTGAAGACCTCGTAGAAATAGGAGTGTCGCTAAGTGAAAATTCCAAATTGTTACAAATTGGGGTTAAGGATGAGAAATGGGAGAATCTCCTGCCTGAGCCAATTAGAATCATGAAATTAGACGGATAATATTTTGTTCAAAGGATGGTGTAAATTTGAGGATCAGAAAGGGGAGAAATTTGAGACCTTGTAAAACAAATAGAGCAGATGAGGAACAATTTTAGACTCCAATCGCATCTATTATTCACCGCTCTTCGTTCAAACGCAAGAGGACGAACCCATTGGATGCAGTGGAAATGAGAGCGGGCTAAGAGCGAAAGGGCGAAAGCGAGAAGAGAAAAGAAGGATGTTGTGATGTATAATGGGAAAACAGTATTCACACCAAAAGAGGAAAAAAAAGAGCAGATTCAAGTCGAAAAACATCTGGCCGAACTTTTTTTCTAGGGTTAGAGTTTAAAAAAAGTAGAATTTACAGTGTTCCGACGGAAATGCCCTAATGCTTAGTTATATAGTTTAATTTTTTGCTGCATCTTCTTCGACTTCGGGAGTCTTCTTTAACGAGTTTGGTCCTTGGTTTTCCCACGCTGCTTCTTTTTTTGCCGTTCTTACGAAATTTAGAGTTTTGTTGTTTTCTTTCGCGGAAGGTTGCGTTTTTCGTTGGTTTTGTGATATTTTTTCTTTTGCGGGGTTTGCTGATTTAGTTAAGGATGGTTTTTCCGGGCCAGAACATTCTTATTGGGGTAAAGACATTCACTGTTAGAATTCCCTTTTTTTCCGTTTGGATTTCTGGTTGTGGCTAGGTTTTTGGCCGATTTACACCTTTTCAAGCATGGCGTCTTTGCAGCCGTGTGAAGAGTGATCCAACTAAGATATATTTATAACATTTTATTTTGGTTTTCCTTTTGTTTCGATGAAACTTAATCGTTTCCCTTATTGTCAATTGTGTGTCTCTCTTAGGTTTCCGTTAAAGGAAAAATTTGGCGTTTGTTCTTCTGATCTTTGATTGCTAGTTTGCAACGTGCGTAATTTTTTATTTTTTTGCGCTTGTTTTTTCGACATGGATTGGTAATAATTTGGGATTTAAATGATTCATAGTTTTTATGAGAGGAGTTGTTGAGTGTGGAAGGTGGATTTATGGGTTTATGCTGCATGGGGGTTTACAAAACGAGAGGAGGAGAGGCAACATTTGATTTGTGATTTAAATTTTTTTTATTTATGTGAAATTTTATTTAAATCATGGAATCTCTTTTTATACCTAATTTAAAATTATAAATGTTAATTGTCTATTTTATCTATTGCAATAATTATATTGATTACAAAATTAAAAATAACTATTAAAACAATTACCCAATTTACTCAATAACCCAAATTGGTTATAATTTATTAGCTATCATTAGAAAAAAAAAATTTTATTTTTTAATGTGATTGGTGATTTTGAAGTTTTTAATTTTTCAACCAAAATATGAATTATGCATCCAATAAACAATACACTAGTTTGCGTTCAACTCCGTACTTCTTTCCATCCATCTCGCTAATACGACATTTGCATCGGTCCCACCCATACGCTAATGAGTTCAGCAAGCCTTGAACTAAAACACCAACATTAATGATAGGAAAAGCAATACATTCTGCCGCAATCATGCAGACTCTCAATGTACAGGATCACTTTCGATTGACTAATGACTTCCAATACTTGCGATAACTGTTAGGCCCACATTTCTTTTAGAATTTCCCACATTTTCATTGCATGAAGCTCTTGGTCTAGGAAAATTCAGTGTTATGCAAAATTTGAGTGCTTCAGAACCTATCGCTCAAAATCAATCAGCTTTGCTTGGTATTGTTTCGCTTGCTTCGTTGCACAAGATAGCGCTTCTCTGTGCCATCCAAAACAAACATCATAATTGAGACTAGAAACCACATTCTTGACTTTTGAGTTCGACTTGGTTTCACTACCTCCTTTTCTCCTCTGCCTTTTTTTTCCTCGTCTTTTGAACCATTGATCCAACAGAATAAAATCGCAGGCTTTATGTTTCCTTTATGTGAATCTTATGTAATTCGTTCCCATAAAAAATAGAGTTAAAACTAAGTTGATATTTAGTTAAACAAAAAATTAAAAAATAAAAATTTTTTTATGTTTTTTAATAATTTGAAAAGGGGTTTTTTTTTGGTATTAAAAAGTTTAAATTAGTACTAAATGAGTTAAAGTTCAAATGTAGAAAATAGGTTATATGGGTTTAAATAAAATTTCCTTTAAAATTACGATGGTAGATAATGAATCCTTACAGTAATGAAATTGAGTGATCTGGAGCATGTGTGGTCGTTAGGCTTCAAACGTGGGACGATCTGTTCTAATATTATAAAAGGAAAGTTGGGTCCCCATAAATAAATATTGACAATATGAGAAACAGAAATTACGCGCAAACACATGTAAGGTTTCTTATTTTCTCAATTGAGAATTATGACTCTCAACACAAACAAACTCGTATCATTTATTTTGACAGACTATTTATAAAGAGAAAAATCAATCATATTTTTTTTAGTGCATGAATATACGTTCTTAATCATTTGAGAAAATAAATATAAATAACTTAAGTATGAAGTCACATTCTAACTTATTTCAATGAAGAAGGAAAATTATGAGTTGACAAAAAAAATGATCGTAATCAGGAAAACTCGAGAAGGAGGGAAAAAAAAAACAGAAGAGCATGTATTTACTCCAAACCACCAAAACAAATAAAAAGTCGGCAAGTTAATTAATAGGGATATTACCGCGGCTGTTCACGACTACGGTCGTTGTCTTGGATTGAGGGTGATGGGTTGTGGAACCGACCACAGTGCATGATGCAACGTCGATGATCACCTCATCTAAATTCCATTATTTCAATAAATTAACACAACACAAAAGATAAACAAAGACTCAGCCCAACGTTTAATTCGATAATTGGTTGGAGAAAAGGGAAAGTGACATCTGACACCGCACAGGCCAACAAAATGCAAACATGAGATGCTTCACTTTCGCATCGTCTCTCTCTTGAGTAACAAGGATGTGCAAATATTAGTCATAGATGCGCTTTAGCTCATTAATAATACTCGTTAAGATAATAATTGGAACTTTATAATTTGTATAGATCAACCTATTGAGCACGACGGATGTGCAACCGTTAGTCATCTACGAGCTCATGTTAATTCTGATTGCTAATGCATTGAGTAATACTCGTTGCGTGTTCTTGACTAGCATTACTTGCACATACACATGCTTCTAGTTTTTGTTCGAATAGAGACAATAACTCTATTGTAAGGAAAGATACCGTGTGATAAATATCTATTAGATGAATGGTGTACATTTTGAATACGTAAAAAATATTGGACTTGTAACGCCTCTAAGACAATGTTTGCTTGAGTAGAAGACTTTTTCCCTTTTTTTTTTTTTTCTTTTTTTTTTAATATTTATTTTCAAATCTGGTATAAGCATGAGCTAGAGGTAAAGACCTCAAGCACCAAATACCAAAATTTTATTAGAAAGGAAAACAAAGGAACTTAACATGGATCATATCGGTCACTTAGTAATACGGTCTAGTTGCATTTCTCTTCACTTGTAAGTGAAATGTCTTATGTTTAATTCTTGCCAAAGCCAAATTTGAACCACATTATTGCTAGTCAATTGTAAGATCGAGCTCACTCCCTCACCCCCTCAATGTAGCCAATATCAATTGTTCAAAAAAATAAATAATAGATAAACATGGATCATATCATCAGTTTGGGATTGAGTTTTTACCACATCAAGTTAACACATAATTGGGTTACACAAATGGGCTTCTCAGAACCCCATAAAACATAAAAGAGCTGCACGCCTAATTTGGATTTCGAAATTGAGCACAAAATCAGCCGAAGGTTTTTCACTTTTATTTCCTAGGTAAAATTTGAAATTATGTTAGGATTTTTATCACAAATGGCTTTTGAAATTGACCATTACTATTAAGATAGTCCATGAAATTGAAAATCAATCAATGTAGTCCCTGAAAATAGGTGTCGCAAATCAATGTGATATTTCCGTCATAATTCTGTTAACAATTCCGTTAAGTGCTTAGAAGTCATTTTTTTTCTCACAAATGGTCTTTGAAATTGGCCCGCGACATCAAAATAGTCCCTGAAATTGATGTGCGACATCAAAATAGTCCCTGAAATTGAAAATCGATCAATGTAGTCTCGCAAGTAAGTGTCTCAAATCAATGTAGTCATTTCATCACAATTCTGTCAAAAATTCTATTATGTGCTGATATGACACATAAATGGATAACACAATTCTAATTAAATTAAAAAAAAAGTATAAATAGGTTTAATAATTTAATAGTTAATAAAAAGTTGTGAACCCAAAAACCCAGTCCTGCAATCACCTATGATCCTAGTCCATATTCCTCTACCTCATTTGTTGTCTATTCTCTAAAAAAAAAAAAAAAAAAAAAAAAATTCTCAATACACTCATCTTTACACACTTTGACACTTTTCAGCGAATTGAACTTGGATTGAGATCACCCTTGGTGACAGTTTGGCTGATTGGCAACGACTTCTGGACATCACCGTTAACATTTAGGCGATCAACATCCTCACAACCTTAATCTTGGAGAGCTTGTTCGACGCTTCCTTATTGGTCTGGTGACTCAAAAAATGGTGAGGTCTGCCTTGAGATGATGAGGCTATAATCGAGGTGCGTCTATTATTGGTTGAAAACTATTTCCAAACCCCTTTTTAGGCCTTGGTTAAGCCTTGTGCCTTTGAGAATTTATGGAAGGGATCTCTCATCGGAGTAGGTCCTACTATAAGAAGAAAAAAATTTCATTGGCAAAAAGGTATTTAGACAACTTTTTTAATTAATTATTAAACCCACACTAGCACATAACAAATTTTTGTACAGAATTGTGGCGGAATGATCATATTGATTTGTGACACCTATTTTCAAGGACCACATTCATCGATTTTCAATTTTATGAACCATCTTGATGGTGTGGATCAATTTCAGGGACTATCTTTATGGTATGAGTCAATTTTAGGGATCATTTGTGATAAAAACTCGTAAATCTTGTGGGCCCCATTTATGTGCCACATCAGCACTTAATGGAATTTTTAACAGAATTGTGATGGAAGGACCACATTGATTTGCGACACCTATTTTTTGGGACTACATTGATTGATTTTCAATTTCAGAGACCATCTTGTTGGTGATGGTCAATTTCAGGGACCATTTGTGATAACCCATTATGTTGATGTTTCAAATAGTGTAAAATGGTCTCTTGGCAGATTATATAACTACATGAGAAGTTTTAATCTAAAACAAAATAGTATCTGAGAAGTTCTCTTGTCAAATCGTGAATCTGGATATGTTTATATAAAATTATATAAATTATTATGCATATGCAGTCTGATAAGAGAACATTACTCTTCAAAATGATAAAATTTAGAGATAAAAAAACCACTTACCCTGCGAGGTTTTAATTTAGTCTTATAAAGTAGTTGCATCACCATTTTCATATTCATATAAATTCCCATACTTCATAGACATCTCAAGAAAGGCACAAACAAAGATTTATATCATAGTTTTTATAAGTTACTACACAAAAAAAGAAAGAAGAAGGAAATACAGCTGAAAAAAAAAAAAGACAGAAGATTGTCTTCCACTTGCACTCTCATGTTTCTTGTTTGTTTTTTTGGTCCAGCACTTTCATGTTTCTCTTTTGGTAGTGGTTCTTCACTCTTCCATTTCTTGAAGCTTAATTGAGTTTGTAGGCACTCCCATGGCCATGGCCATATATGAACCTTGCCGTTCCTTCTGTATACACATGAGTCTCATTGACCATCCTGCCAACAACCCATAATCCTGGCTTAAATAAGTAGCTGCTTAAATCAAGAGGAAAATCAACTTATTAGGCACCCGACTTACGATTTCCGAACAGCTTTGCTCAAGGTAGAAGCTGATGAAAATGTTTTTCCATCTAGGTATCTGTTCTCCCCTGTGATCCTTTGTTTAATTCTGAGGTCTAGTTCATCGGCACTAAGCTCAAAAGGGGTATCTGAAGCCTGTTATTTTAAACAATTACTTAGCCTCCTTAATGTCAATTAAAAATACAAAATGGTGTCACTTATACAAGTAATTAATTAAGAACATTGATTTTATTATGAGGTGCTAGATTTTTTACCAGGATCCATCCCCAAGTATCAGCATAAGAAGGAATATGAGCTGAATAAGGCACAACATCTGCAGATATACAAAGAAGTAATAAGGGCAGAGATAAAAAGACAAGACACAAAACAAACGACCCCTCTAATTCAAGTGAGTCTCGCATACAACGCTTAGGTTCACCTTTAGTAGAGATATGGTCAGCAATGCAATCAGTTTTGTTTGTCCACTTAGCATTAAAACAAAACAAAACAAAAAACAAAAAAAAAAAAAACAAAAAAACAAAAAAACAAAGAAAAAAAAAAACTAGAGATGAATCATTTTCTTAATCAAGGTCACTTACATTTGAAGACCTGCCTCAAAGTATTGTAAATGCAGGAAAATACTTCTGTGTGGCTGAAAATTCCAGCAGGACCTGCCTGCATGTATGAAAAAAAAACGTGAAGCGGTTAATTCTGTCATTAGGGTTCTGTTTTTGTGCGTGATTGCACGCCTAAGTATGGTTAAGATACCTGTGTGACAAAAATGCCTTCCTTGGTGAGTCTTGGTTTGACAGTAAACTCGTAGAAGGATTTGGTGTAGAGTTTATAACATGGGCCTCCTTCTATTGGGTCTGCTAGGTCACCAATGATCACATCGTACTGCCCTTCCCTGTGTTCTAGCTCAGCCCTGCAACGCACACAATAATTAGTGACAACTATATCAGAATTAAAAAAAAATAGTGAAAGCAGTATGTAAATATTAATATATATACACGCACATAAATTCTCTGCACACGATGTTGGTTCTTTAACAATTGTTGGATGCCATACCGATAAAGTTATAAACCCGGCATCATTGACACACACACACAAACATATATATGCTGAAAATAACCTGGCATCATTGATGATGAGCTCCAGTCTTGGATCACAGAAAGCTTCACTGTTTACAGTCAAATATGACTTGCAGAACTCTACCACCTCCTGCATTAGTATTGCAGCTTGTAGTGAAATTTTTTATATTATGTGCAATGTGTTGCAACTTGTAAGCCAGATAAAACCCAGAACAGTGATTTGGAAAAATTGATGCAACTTGTAAGCCAGATAAAACCCAGAACAGTGATTTGGAAAAATTGAAAATTTTTTATTTTTTATTTTTTTTGCTTCCACGACTAATCCTCCTTTTTGTCTTTTTCAAATAACAAGAGACAAATGAAAAGCAGCTTTTGGTAAAAGCAGCTAAAAAACTAGACAAAGTGTGACGTATAGAGGGAAATATACCTCATCAATGTCACACATGACAACCTTCTCCACAGTCCTGTGCCTCAGAAGTTCTCTTGCAGTTGAGCCTTCACCTCCTCCCATGATGAAGATGCTCTTTGGACTGAACTTGACATTAATTACAGAGTTATTAACAATGTTGCCCTTAACATCCAATATATACACACATATATAAACCTCATCGGCAGTATGAGATAAATTTTTTTTATATGGAAAAGAGAGTTTAAGTACTTTGGATGATGTAGAAGTGGTGGGTGGACAAGACATTCGTGGTAGATAAATTCATCCGTCTCAGCGCTTTGAAGCTTTCCATCAATTACTAAAGCCTGCAAAATACATAACAGAAAATTGAATTAATTAGTCATTTGCTGCAGTTTGTTATAATTGATTACTTTACTTAATTAATAGTAGGATTGATCAAAACCTTTCCAAATGGCTTTGTGTCCAGCAATGCAATGTCTTGAAATGGAGTTGATCCTGTATGCAATATACTGCAACCAAAATTAATTAATTAATTAATTAATTAATGAAATCATGCATTGGAACACTAACACTATTCTACTAACGTCTTGTCTGACCTTTTCATGACCATGATATTTCGGGGTAAAGAGGGTGTTATTCACTTTTAAAAATTCTTTTATTTTTCTAACGTAGGAATTTTGACATTAAGATTATAAAATAAGTCAGAAAAGGTATTACCATATCTACGTAAAAAACTCAAGGGGGACAACGAAGACTTTAGAACAAATGGTGAAAATTTCCTAATGATTTTGTCTATGGACATTCTCATAAATTTACAGTCAAAATGAGAAAATCACGAAGTCAGAATTTGGTAGCACATGAGACTAACATTAAAGTAATTAACTGTATAATTAGATGAAATGAGAAATCAACGAATAAAAGAAACAAAAAAACATAGGTAGTAAAAAAGTTACAGCGCCCAAAAAAGAACTGATAACATGTTTGAAAATTGAGTTGACTGCAGATAGTAAAAGATAGTGACAGTTAATACGTACCTATTAAGAGCAAAGCTCCATCTCAAATTTTCTTCAATTTCTTCCTCATACCAACAGCTCTTCCTGTATCCATTCAGCACTGAATGGCCCTTGCCATTCACTCCATTTCTATTCACATTCACATTCCCACCCCCATTCCCATTCCCGTTGTTGGTTCCATTGGAATACGAAATATCACCCATTTTCTGACCTGGCTATCCAAAAATACTTCACCAAACAGGACAAGTCAGTGTATGTAGAGAGAGAGAGAGAGAGAGAGAGAGAGAGAGAGAGAGGGAGGGAGGGAGGGAGGTAAGTGATGTAGAAGCGAGGAGGGTTCTCACAATATAAGAAGGAAAAAGGTAGCGGCCAAATCGAAGGGTACCATGATTTAGGGTTGGATAAAAAAACTAGAGAAATGATGGCCAAAAAAATATTTTAAAAAAAAAAGAAGAAGAAGAAGGGAAATCTGTTGAAGTGGTTGTGCTTGAGAACAGACACAAAAGCATGCAGCCTCAAGATATCTTCATTGGAATTCGGAAAGTAATGGGAAAATGGGACTAATTTAGATTTTTGTTGCCTGGGTTTAATATCTTGTCCGTAAAACAGTATTATCAATTTTTTTTGAAAATTAGTAAAGAGATTGTTCATGAATTATCTGCTACCGCACAGTTTAACGTTAATTCCAATATCAATATTATAAATATTATGCAAAAAAGCAGATAGTAACAAAGAATTCTACTTGTGAAAGAATCTCCGTATCATTTCTCGATTGTTGAACATAGGTGATTGAGATTTTAGGCATGCAAGTTCTTTCCTTGGAACTACGCAGCGAGCTTTGACATGTTGCTAACATACTGATACTGTTATATATGCACAAGTTAATGATATCATGGCTGTCATTGCATGTATGCATGTATGATAATGATATTAATTTTATTTTGTATCCAAATGGTATTCTAAACATCCCAATTTATATTCGAAAACCTTAAATTCTTGTGTAATAAGACGGACACATTGTCTTAACTAATTGATTTTATTTGTAAACGTGTGATGATATTATCTTAAGAAATGAAAAAAAAAAGGTATTGGTGGAGGAAAAAAAGAGGGGGAAAGGATAAAAGATGATGATGGAGGAGGTGACAACAAGCGAAAATTCTGGTTATATTATTTTCTTCAAGAATGTGTGCAAATCTTGATTGGAATTGAAGAAGAGAGAAGCAGAGAGAGAGAGAGGAGCGTGCACTGGAAACCATCATAACATTCTCTTTGCTTCAAAAGATTTAGAGGGCGTGCTATGGCAGGCGCACTCATCATAACTCTCACCATTAACGCATCAATTCTCTCCCCCCCAAACAGGAAGTATTTAACTTCAACCCCATACCCACCGTACGTAAAATGTATAAGAAATTAAAGATGATAATGAAAGACATTAGTTCTAGCCCTTCACTAGCACTTAGCTATTTAGTTTTTTTTTTTGTTTTTGGTGACATTCTATTTGAAAATTATCTTTTAGGTTCTAGCTAGCATATTCACTTGCCTAAAGTTGCTTGTAAGATCATGGTAATGTGAGCTGAACAAAGTTAGGATTTCACTATAAAATCAATTGGCAATATGGGAAGTAGTCCAACTTACTTATAAACCCATGCAAGGTCTCTCCTCTCATCAATATTCATTCTCAACACGCTCCCTCACGTGTGGCAAATTTTCAAGCCTGACATGTGGACAACACATTCCAGGTGGCGTGAAGCACATGCGGCCGTTTGGCTTCACATGTGGACAGTGACGAAGCTACGTGAGGGTGAGGAGTGGCGGCCGCCCCTCCCCTCGCCGGAAAACAAGCCTAGGAGCGCTGGTTCAACCCCTCCACTGTCTTGGTTGAATTTGCAAAGGAAGGGCGATAATTTGGTTGGATTTGCAAGGGAATGACGAAGACGAAGGAGAGAGGTTGGGGCGAGGGGGGAGAGAAGATGGGCTGAAGAAGAAACCATAGGCATGACATGGAGATTAGTAGACATCAGAGAAAAAGAGTTCTGTTTGGTATTGGGTTTAAAGGGGTTGGTTGCGTTTGGTTACGAAGATAGCAAAAGTTGAGATTGTTTTAAATTTGGTATTGGGTTTAAAGGGGTTGGTTTGCGTCTGGCCCCACCTTTTTTTTGGGTGGTTTATTAACCCATTTCTTTTATTTATTATTATTATTATTTTATATTTTTGTATGTATTTTTATTTTCTCTTTTAAGACTCCCACCGTATTTATCTTAAAGTCTCACATTATTTATAAATATTGTATTACTTTTTAAAAACAATGTAAATATTGTTTAATGCTTATTTTACGATAATTTAAATCCATCTAAGCTCTTGCCTAGATCTCGTTTAGGCACCTAGCTACTAGGTTCCAGTCTGTTGTTTGACTAGCGCCTAATATTTTAAGAGGATCTAAACCTAGCCAATTTAAGCTTCTTACATTGGCTTTGATATTATTGCTTACAACCGCTTTGATGGAGAGACTATTTTCTGCTATGAATATTGACTCAAAACTTTGTACTCTCCAATGTGAAAGCAATCGCTTCGATTGAACTTTGCACTCTTTTAATTTCACCCCTCGCCTCGACAATCCTAGCTTCTCCACTGCACGTGGGACAACTTAATTTGATATCATGAAGAAAGTTAGGGTTCCGCCATAAAACCAATTGGCAATATGGGGAGTATCCCAACTTACTTATAAGCCCCATGCAAAGTTTCTCCTTTCATCAATGTGGAATTCATTCTCAACAGCTACATGTTTGTTGAAAAATGTATTTTTTGTTGATAGTTAAACAAACTATAGTCTTGCATTAGATCTAGTTTGATAATCTTCCCCTCTGTTTGAATAGTTTTATTGGTAATGATTAGCTTCAGATGTCCAAGCCTAGGCTCATAGCAATCTAGCCGTTACCCAAAAGGCAACGCAAGGGCTATAAAATTGCCCTTTAGCCCCAAAAACCCACTTTCATCAGTCTGTTTTGTGGAGAGCAATTGCTGGTCGAACACATGCTTAGTCAAAAGCCTGAGCAATTTGAGCCCAAGCTTGCATCAACGGGTGAGGTTGATGTTAGCATGACGTCAACTACGTGCTTTTTTTTTGTCTGGTGTGCGAATTGGGTGAGTGGGTCTACAAATTTTGTTGCCATGCCCGCTACTACATATTCAAATTTTCTACCAATTGTCGACTGAATGGTATATGAGAGCTTTTGGATTTTTCAACAACCTGATGATCCAGACCGTTGGATTTCCAACGGTAAAAAAATTGAGAAATTATTGTTGTGCTACCTGGCACGTTTTGGATTGCCAAATTCAATAATAATAAAATTAAATGGTCAAGATAAATCTAATCATTAAAAAAATTTAAAAAAAAGTTTTATTGTATAAATATCCAACAATCTTCTTCATTCGCCTTTTATTTTTGATTAATTATGCTTGTTTGTGATGTTATGCTTTGCTTTGTATTTAAAATTAAATTTTCGGAGGTAAAAAAGGAGTTTTATTTTCAAAGAACAAACTTACAAAGTACGCATTTTTTTCTTTCAACAAACGATATTATCTATACTAAGGGGAAGGGGTAGGCTTAGCCTGACAAGGGGTTAGCAATAACATGGTTCCAATTCACATTTGCAAGAATCGAACCTAGAACCTCTCATTTACAAGTGAAGAGAAATACCACTAGACCGTAATACTAAGTGGCTACAAAGTATACATTTAAACACACTTACAAGGTATAAAAAAATAAAAATATTTGCGAATAGTAATCGCCCTTACCCCCTTGCCAAACAGGTGGACTTGCACAATAATCACTTTTTAGAAGGCAATTACATTTCCTTGCCATCCTAAAACAGGTGGATGTGCTCTTATAATTGTTTAATTTTGTTTAAGCTATTAACCCCTTTTCAATCAAATAAAAAAAATCCAATTTAAAATTTTAAGTGACAGTGGTAGTCATATTTACACACAAAAATCACTCCACATGTCAGATGCTTTGTTTTGCTATAGCATGTCAACCCATTATCCAATCCATGCAACAAATAGTGGATCTAATTAACGGGGTCCAAAGTGTCCATTTGGTGGCGAAAGATTGGCATCAGAATGATGCGTGAAAAATTAAGGGATGTGATATCCACACATCTTATTTTACTTCTCACACACTTTTTTAATTTTCAACCATCGGATCGAATGAATTGAAGAAAATCAACGGACAGAAATTATCAAGGGTGTATGAGAAATAAAGTGTGGTGTGTGGATAGCACACCCCAAAATTAAATATAAGTAACAAAAGAAAGGAAGAACAAGATAAAAATCTATGTGCGCACATAATTACTATGGTGGAGGAGGGCATAGGAGAGAGGGCCCGAGTATTGGAGAAGTAGTGGCGTTCTATTTGATGCAGGCCAGCTATGAAAACCAAGGAAATCATTCTTGTTACTTGCAGTGTGTTTTGGTTAATTTGGAGAGATTTTTTAGTGTGATTGGTACACAAGATAGTACATCACGTGTCACTATAAAAATAGTGAGATATGTGTGCTAAAAAGTTAATAAGTTAAAAAATAAATTTTCTCATCACTCCTAATAAAATAAGTGGTGTATCACTTATGTTCTTGTCATAACTAAAAATTTCTTGTGAATTTGGGGGTGATGATGGATTCGCCAAACTCTTGTTTTAGAAAAGTTATGATGACCTCAAAGGCCTAAAGCTCCAACTCGAGGTCCCCAGGATAAAATTGTGTTCCCCTAATCTTTTACTTGCCTCCTTCTCCCCTCCATGACCTGTAAAAATCATTGCACTGGCCTAAGCTTTGTCACCCAGCAAATCATATGACATGATTTTATAGATTTCTTGTTAGCTTGCCTTGCCGCACATAAAATGATGTCCATTCTTCATGTCCCATAATGAATCAAGTCATCACAAGGCAATACACTAGGTATCTCATGTCTTTACTTTGTCGTATTATGCTTTTCTTCTTCATCTCTTATCAACCGGAAAGTTTGAACTTGAATGTGACGTTTGGACCCGATCAAAATATAACATTCCCCCTCTCCATGCATCGGAAAGTTAAAACTTATAAATATCTTTTGAGTCAAATTAAAAGTCATGTCTTTTTTTATAAGTAACTAAAGCTATAAATTTGAATTTAAAAAATGTTTGAGTCTAAGGTGATTGTCGTGACAAAGAGAAAAAACTTCATTCCAACCAAGGTATAAAATATCGATGATATTGGAAATATCGGTAGTCCAAAAACACGGAAATATCGATGGAAATATCGGGATATTATCGATATCGAT